CAACATGGCCCAGTCACCGTAGTCGCTGCACGACTGACTATGTCGATGTCTGTATATAAATTGTAAAGCTCGTGGTTCATTCGACGGCGATATTCACCGTGGACGCAGATTGACCCTTAGATCTTTTGGGGAATTTTTATCTCAAACACTCCAAGAGCTGCCTTATCTGCTGACGCAAGTACTCATGCTTCAGATCCATATAACAGCACGGGTGGTACCAGCGTCTTGTAGAGTGGGAGTTTGGCCTGGCGGGAGGGGCCTTGCTTTTGAGTTACTTACTAAGACCACATTAGCATCTGTTGGCCTACACTATTCTTCTCCGGATTTCAAAGCTGATGTTATCTACCTTAATTACCTCGAATCAGTAGTCCTCAAGTTTCACAGTTGGTACTAGTCCACTGGACGTCTTGGGCGTTGATACCATTAGCTTCGTCTTCTCGTCGTTTACTGCTAGGCTTACTTTGGCAGACTGTTTCTCAATTTGTTCAAAGGTGGCTGTTACCGTTCGCAATGTTCGACCCATTATATCGATGTCATCGGCGTAGGCGAGTAACATGTGTTGTTTGGTGTACAGAGTGCCATTTCTGTTCACCTTTGCATCTCGTATGAACTTTTCCAGCAGGATATTAAACAGAGATGACACGACAAACTGTCACCTTGTCTGAATCCTCGTTCTGTATTGAAGGGCTCCGATAGGTGTAAATGTAAATTTTGTCTCCCTGTGTCAATTTTATATTCTCCCATCCGAATGCTGAATGCCCTCATATATATATATATATATTAGATATTGTTGATACGAAAGTCCTTAATTTTTTTTCTTTAAAGTCCTCATCATTTTGTTCTTTTATGACTCGATCCTTTATGGGGCATTTTTTCTTCCCTGTTTATGGAACTTATTTTTCTACTTATCTCACAATTCTAATAAACACGATAACCCTAGACAAATACAACAACAGCAAAAAACCAAAAACAAATAAGGAAACTGAACGGAATGAAACACTTAACGTTTTGCCACCAGTCAGTCAGCCAACGGCTCAATGACTATTTCCGAGTGTGTGTTGTTGTTATTATCTTGCTTGCTGTTGTTGTTGTAAATTTTTATCGTTATTATGTGAAATAGTGTGAAGTTCAGCTGTGTGTTCGACGTGAATGGATGACTGCCTATTTAGCAAAATGATGTGGGTAATACTTCTATTAGATACCTAAAGTCGGGAATATCCGACCGACCGTTCACCACCAGTAGGAGTGAGCGATGGACTCTTTATGCCTTTTATTTTTATTTATTATTATGATTATATTTTGTGAGAACAATTGCAGTGCTGTAGTTAGTTGGTGTATGTATATGGGGAAAAATTACTAACCGACTAACTAAAACCGTATTAAGAATGGACTTTACAGAGAGAGAGAGAGAGAGAGATTATACAACTCAGTAGTGGTGGAGTTATTCAAGTAATTCCGGAGATGCCAGATTTTGCTTTAAGATAGGTTAAGGCAAAAGGTTTTTTTGAAAGGGGGAAATATTCTTCTTCTTTCGTAGAAATAACAATTTTAGACCATTTAACGAGTTACGAGACTAGTTTCATCTCTCCGATAGTATGTTGTAATCATGCTTAAATTTTATCAGGTTTTAAGTAGTGCAAAGATCACATTTTTCAATTCTCTTCAAATTTTTAAGAGCAAACAGCCAAACGAGTCAGAAAATTAGTTTTAGTATATAATTATAGATAATATCGAAAAGGAATTCCGTCTTATTTTTTTACCACAAGAATATGACATGTACTTTTCCCATGAAAAAAAATCTAATTTAAAAGATCGATGGGTGACATTGAATTCTTGGAAGAAAAAAAACAGCATATATTCAAATGGCGCCCAACATATTGCAGGTTGTCAGGCAATTTTTATATCTTCACCATAAGGTGGAATGTATAATAAATTTGTCATTCCGTTTGCAATATCTCGAAATATTCACTGGAGTTCCACAAAGTATATATATTCTTGATCAGTCTATTGAAATCACAATAGAGCTCGCAATATTTAAGATAGAGTTTTGCAATTTCCCACATTCATTGCACTTACTCCTACGGGGTCAACTAAAATATAGTGCTGATAAAATTGAATTCAGTACAGCGATTGGTTTCTATCCTGATTACCGGAGCGCTAAGAAGCATACCACAGGCAGCCTTGAATACGATCTTGAATCTCCAACCATTGGACTCTCTTATTAAAAAGTGCGTATCGTCAACATAACGCCATGTTGTGATTTCTTGACTCATAGAGACTTTAATGACAACAGAGTAGATTTCCCTAACAGGGAACCCTGTACTAGTGGCTCATTACCTCTGCCAGGTCTGTCTTTATTCACAGACGGGTCAAAGATGGAGGAAGGTACTTGTGCAGGCGTTTACTGTAGGGAATCATAAATCTACAACTCATATAAACTTAACAATCTTTGTAGCGTTTTTCAAGCAGAAATTCCTTGCAATCACGAAAGCGGCTGAGATAGCCAAACATTTACTGCCGATAATACGAGACTGGTGATAGTCAGGAGGCCCTCAATGCTTTAAAGTCGCCCACTATAAACACAAAAGCAATTCTTGATTGCAAGTCCGCTCTGCATGATATAAGACGGATAGTTAATTTATGCTGGGTTCCAGGACATAGCAACATAGAAAGGAACGAGATAGCCGACGAGCTTGCCCGAGGGGGTTTACAGTCGTCCAATCTTCCGTTTGAGAGATCTGTGCAATCACCCATTGGCTATTTCCTTGGCAAAAACCGCATGTTCTTCGGCGAGGTAGTCGGCAATAGATGTTCGATCGAGAGCTCAAAATTATTGTATATTATATGCAGATTTTTCTTGTAGTGACTGACTTTTTTCCATACACACTACAATATTTTTTCTTAATGGGATACAACTGCATATTGTACAACCTTAGGAAGATAAGGAGGTGACTTTGAACGCTAAGCCGCTGGACAACAATCAACAGATACCATGGGAACCAGGGTTCAAATCCCAACCAAGCTGAATTTTTGAGTTTTATGCCTCTTTAGGGTTTATTCCAGAGAGATACTACATTCCCATTATTATGCGAAGCGCTTCGCCGCATTTTTATGTTATTTTTAGTCCTTTGTGTGTTTTTTACTTTATTTTTTTTAATCTTTATTATTGAGATTTTTATTAAACATTGATTTATTTTTTTCTTATTCGTTTTTATTTTTTTGGTTTGTTCCTATTTCTTTTAAGTTTGTTTTTTTTATTCATTTATGGATTTTTTTCATTTATTTGGATTTATATGTTTTGTTGTTGTGTGCGGTTTCTTTTTGTATTTTTCTTTTTTTGAGGTTTTATTTTATAATTTTTATTTCATTCGTTTCTAATTTTCTTCTTTTTTAACAATTTTTGGGATTTGCATTTGAATGCATTTTTTGTTTTATTTTTGAAGAATTGGCCAAATAAAACCCCAATTCATTTAAATTTTAAAAGTCCAATGTGGCAACTCACAATTCTATCCCTACATTACAGTGTTTTTATGTGCTCTTGCTCTCTCTCTCTCTCCGTCGTGTTTCTGAAAAGGAACAATGTGAAAAACAAAACACACGTAATGGAGAGTGAATGTTTTTGGTTGGTTGTTAGCGTGGTTTTATATTTGTCGGGATCGGGATCGGTGTTGAGAGTTTCTCTCTCTTGAGAGAGTAATTAGAGTTGCGCTATTTTTAATTTTGTAACAAGCGTACTTTTTGTTCACAAAAGGTACGAATTGACATAAACGTACCAAAACAAAAATTATATTTTTTATTATTCGTGGATACATTTACGCTTAAATTATAACATATATTATTTATGCAAACAACTGGTATAAATATTGGCCAATATTTCTCGATAATTATGATTTATTATCATTTGAAGTAGAATTTTAGGTACCTTTTCGTACTTTTTTGTTCCTACCTGTGTTAATGTTTTCCAACACAATTCACAATTTACCACTGAGAGAGAGAGAGACTCTCAACACCGATCCCGATCCCGGCAAATATAAAACCACGCTTACGGAATGAATGGGAATTTTAAAGTTCAGTTTGTTCAGAGACGCTTGGTTTGTTGCAGATGCTAGGGATACCTGCACTTGAACGCACATCGGCGGTGGCACACGACGACGACGCGCAATACCAAACGAACGTCAGGCAAGAAGCAACCAACACAGCAAATCCAGTGTATTTTCGTCGATATATTTTTTATATTCGTTTCATTTCAATTCGGGGCTGTTACCTACCTACATACAGCAAGTGAAACAAAATAAATAACACCAAAAGTTTTTTTTAACAACGACCTGCGGTAATGATAAAACTCCGATAATCGTGTGTGTTTTTTTCTTAACGTCATACAAATTTGTTACACATTAAAACTAAATAATAATTTTACATAAAATATTATAATGTATTGTGGATACATATGGTGTGTGGATAGAGAGCGAAGAGATTAAAATAAATAGAAACAAAAAAAATATACACACAGAGTGACTAACGTATGTACGACGAATGTATGTACGTATGTTGTTATAACCACTTTAATTTCAATAAATAATTAAATAATGTTTTAAATAATAAAGTGTTAAAATTGTTTTTTGTTACACTACTAAAAATGCAACAAATTGTAGTAATTCAGTTAAACATATATTTTTTTGTTATAAATATTTGTAGGCGCTGTTAATTCTTTGTGAAAATAGTACGGCCCCAAAAACAAAAAACGAAGAAAACAAAAACAACAAAAAAAATAAAACATAAATACAATCACGCACAACCAGAGATCAATTGGTCTGGTCGGTCGTTTGAACAAACGTACAGGCGGTCGGTCGGTCGGGCGAACAGACGGACGGACGTACGAATGGTTTGTTCGTCGTCGTCTTTCGCTGGTTGATGGTGGTGCCCATAATAAAAATCAACTTTACGAACAAGCTGCTGCTTCTCGAAATAGGAAAAGGAAAACTTTAAAAAGGCACACACAACAAACAACATATAAAAAGGAATCAGGAACAATCAGCGGTGGCGGCGATGTCCGAATCGGAATCGCCAGGAAAACAGAAAGGGCTGCGACGCCAACTGGTAAGTAGAGTATAGTTTCAAAGTACAATTTTATCACTGGCCACCACAACAAAAAAATGCATGCATTAATGGATAATCATTATCATCATCAACATCCTATACTCCGCTTCATCATGTAGGCGTAGCGTAATTCCATAAATATCGTAACAAAAATAATTTTCCTTATTTCAAATTACTACAAACAATAACTAAAAAAATATATAAATGCGTGCGGCGCACACACACAAACCATGCATGATAACACCACAGTGAACAGAACAAAAAAGACTTGTTTCTTTCGCAGTGATAAAACTAAACGCATTTAGTTTTTTTCTTCTAGCGGTAAACAACGTTTTGCAAAATGCCGTGAACGAGCGAGCGCGCCAACAAATAAACTTCCGTCGTCACCACCATCGACGTCTAGTGTCTTTAAACGACCAAACTAAACTAACGCCGCATGACGAATTCTTTTCGATTTTATTATGATTTTTGTTGTTATTCTGCTGTTTCTTTTCTATTTCACTTCTCTACTTATTCCACGTTGCGCTTATCTTCGTTATCTCGTCGTTCTGTTGTTGCTGTGTGTGTTATTCATTCGCTTTCATTTGCCATAGCCATAGGAGAGCTCGTTATTTCATTTAGCCAGCCATTGACGTCGTCGACGTCGCAGGCAAACACACGAATACACACAGTACACAGAGAGTCGTATGTGGGGTATTGTCAGCAACAGTACACAACGGCGTTGTCGTCGTTGACTGCAGCCAGTGTACTAAGCATGCACGAGCATATATGTGCAATAACCAGCAATAATGACGACGTCGTCGTCAATGACAGTAACGACAGCAGCAGCACTCATTTACAGAGTGTTTGCCGTAAATAACATAACAATGTTGTCAACACAAAAAGAGCGCCAAAAGCTAACCATCTTTATGACAACGTATGGCAAAAATCCCATGTAAAGCAAATGTTGGCTAAATTAATGATTTTAAATCAATTTCTAAATAAAATTGACGTGAAATTAATGGAAATTAAAAGAAAATTCACTCAAGATAAGACATTTGCCATTTTTTTATGTTTTTTACGCATAAAGGAATAGCAATAAAACTTGGAAATTAAAAAAAATACATAAATTATAAATTGGTAAATTAATGCTTTTCAGATGCATTTTCGAGCAAAAATTAAGAAAATAAATTATCCTCAGTTCCTGAAAAACAAATTCTGCCTCCTGAGATTTCTTTTCTACAGAATTTAGGGACAGCTCTTTCAGTCCCATTTTTTTCTATAATTTTTTTTTGGAGAAAATAGTTTAGACGTTTTTTCAAACTGTGTATACCATATATATATATATAGGACCGATATATATATATATATATATATAATACTTCCCCTAAAAACGTAAATACAAATACACTTGGTACCATATATATATATATATATATATATATGACGTTATGCTATTTTTTTAAAAAGAAATATTGTATGGCGCCCAACGTTTAAATGCCACCGTTTAACGATTTTTTAGATTGTTTTTGTTGTTTTTAGTTATTCTTCATGATATTTTAACAATTTCCATATGCTGGCGCCCAACGTTTAGTATAGAATATTAGCCAAACTAAGTTGGACATGTGTGATAACCATTCACTGAATATTCACGCGGGTGGCAATTATAAAAAGCTCTTCATTTGAATAAGAGGATACTGAAGGTAAAGTTGGCGCCCAACATATATAAATTTCCAACTTTACAATTTTTAGATACCAAATCTCAAATAATTGATTCCTTCGGGTAGACTTTAACGAAGTATTATGAAGTAACTGAAGTATTATTATATTATATTTTTTGTTATATAAATTGTCGCCCAACGTAAATGATGCTCAAGCCAACTAATTTGGCGCCCAACATGAAGATCACATGCGGAGCTAGAATTGGAGTTACAAATCGTTTTTTTAGATATAGAACAATTTAATTGTATTTCGTAAATATGTAAATGTAAGAAAATGACATGATTTGTCAACATTAACATGAATTCTTTGGGTATTTAATTTTCAAAACAAAAAATTTTTTTCTTCCATCCTAACTGCCTGAAATTCTGATATATAAGCCATTATTTTAACTCGTTCGAAATATTTATATGTGCAGTCGTATAGTTAGCCGGTTATAGTTGTGTGCAGGTTTTATTTTGCTTTTGATAGTAAAAGTGTATTCCAATTGTTGTTGCATGTGTTTGTATGTGTGAAAATGAATAAAACAGGTTGCCAAACAAGTTTGTTTGTTTGTGGGATCTGTTATGGTTCTTAAAAATCCAGAAACCTCTCACACACACACTCACACACCTGGAAAAGGATGAATTCAAAAGGAGATGAAATAGAAACTAAAAAAAAAATACGTGATGAATTTGTATTCAGGTTTTTTGCTTTTAGTTTAATTTTTTGGATTTTGAGAATAATCAGTCAGTTATCACATTTTTTTTAATAATGGGGTATTTTGATACGGTATTTAAAATAACATTGAATGGGGAATTTTGGAAACCATTGGGATAACGAGTGGGATACTATAAATACGTTCTTTTAAGGAGGATATGTTTTTAACGTAACTTGGATAACGTGGATAAGATTTTTACGACATTTGCATGAAGTTGTTGCGTCATTTTTATAACGAAGATTAAGCGTGATGTTACGTGATGTAGATGAAGTTTGGATGCGCCATAACGTGATTGGAGTATATCTAGATTGATTGAGGTTACTTAAAAACACCGAACATTAGATGAACAAGTGGCGCCCAACGTTTTAGATCCTATGTCTTAGCCATTTTTTTCATTGGCATTCATTTTATTATATATATTTTTACATAAATTGGCGCCCAACGTAAAACCAAAAATACTATTTGAGGTTATGGATGAAATGGCGCCCAACGTTATATACCTAAAGTCATGATTTTTTACTTTTATTCTTAACATTTTCACTGGAGAAACACATGGCGCCCAGCACATGCGGATTGTTAATCAGAACTGAGTGAGTGGCTCCCGAGAAGCCCCATGTGTGAAAGCCTTTCATTGAAAAATCTTACATACTGAAGGTGCAAATGACGGCTCAGGCATCGATTGTCAACGAAACTTCTAATTCTGGATTGTGTTGTAAATATTTTACAAATTTCCACTGGAAGTGCAGGAATGGCGCCCAACGTTTTTTTGCATTTTTAGCTAAACTTTATGACATTAATTGTTAACGAATCGTCTAATTCTGGATTGTCTTGTAAATATTTTACCAATTTCCACTGGAGATTAAAGAATGGCGCCCAACTTTTTTTTTGTTAATATCATATATTTTTACTAAAAACGGAAACACGTAATCAAAAAAAAAAAAAAAAAAGTTGGGCGTCTTCATGAAATTTATGAAATATAATAATTATTTTCATGATTGCTAAATATCATGAATATTTTTTGAGTAAAATGTACACAGATGGCGCCCAACGTTAGTTGCCACCCTATATAGATTGTTCAAATATGCTTACATTCATACAAACGGCACCCAAGGTACGCAGACTAAAGGTATGAATGGCGCCCAACGTTGGTTAGATACTAATTTCCATTGTGATGTTACGAAAATTGTGCCCAACGTTGTAGAAAGTATATGCGAGGACTGAAGGTTCGAAGGACGCCCAATCGGTTCAGGCATCGATTGTCAACGAAACTTCTAATACTGGATTGTCTTGTAAATATTTTACAAATTTCCACTGGAGATGTATGAATGGCGCCCAACGTTTTTTTTTTTTTATTCTTTAATAACGTGTTCGGATTTTTAGCAAAACTATATGCTGTTAACCACATGATAGCAAGGCAGATTGAAGTTACGAATGGCGCCCAACGTTAGTTACCACTCTATATAGATTATTAATAAATGGAGATGCAAGAATGGCGACCAACGTTTCTTTTTTATTTTTCTTTGATAACGTGTTCGGATTTTTAGCAAATCTATATGATATTAGCCATATGATAGCAACGCAGATTGAAGGTACGAATGGCGCCAACTTGAGTTACATACCAACCTATGTAGATTATTAATAGATGTTAAAATTTGTTTAAGCGGGCCCAACGTTGGTAATACAATATTGGTAATTTTGCCAATTTTCATTGCAAATTGCCTCCCAACGTTTTATATGCCGAACATCGATTTGTTTTCATTTTTCCAAAGTTCTGTTTTCTTTCCTTATCATCAACAATTCTCGAAAATCTCTTATTGATTCTCTTTTTATCTCTCTCTTTTTTATTACAGCGCGAGCGCAAAGAACGCAAACAATATTTGGAAGAATGGGCTTTGGGTGATGATGATTTGGAGGGGGCACGCGGTTTTAGCGTGGCCGAAAAGCTGGAGTCATCAAAATTTGCCCAAACAGGTATGGTGCGGGAAATGCGCGGTAGTGATTTAAATGTGGCGTAAGTATCTGGCACACTTTTTTAATCTTTCAATTTTTTTGAAATGTTTTCCCCTCCCGTTTTCAGATTATTACAACAACATGGTTTCAATATGCCATTATTATTTCGTGATAAGACCGGTTTGGGTCTACGCATGCCCAATCCCAATGAATTCACGGTGAACGATGTCCGATTGTGTGTCGGCTCCCGGCGCATACTCGATGTCATGGATGTAAATACACAAAAAAATCTCCAAATGACAATGAAGGAATGGCAGCAATACTACGATAGCCCCCAAAAGGATCGTCTGCTAAATGTCATCTCCTTGGAATTCTCTCACACCCGGCTGGATAATTATGTTCAAAGTCCGGAAATTGTACGACAAATTGATTGGGTTGATGTTGTGTGGCCCAAACGCCTCAAAGATGCCCAAAAGGAGGCAACAAATCTCCTGGGCAATATGATGTATCCCAAGGTTCAGAAATATTGTCTAATGTCGGTGAAAAATTGCTATACCGATTTCCATATAGATTTTGGTGGCACCTCTGTCTGGTATCACATTCTCAAGGGTAGTAAGGTGTTCTGGTTAATACCACCAACCGAAAAGAATCTCCAGTTATATGAAAAATGGGTGTTGTCCGGCAAGCAGGCGGATATCTTTTTTGGTGACACCGTGGAGAAGTGTGCTCGGGTATATTTGACAGCGGGAAATACATTTTTCATACCCACCGGTTGGATACATGCAGTGTACACCCCCACAGATTCTTTGGTATTTGGTGGTAACTTTTTGCATTCCTTTGGCATTGTCAAGCAGCTGAAGACAGCCCAGGTTGAGGATGCCACCAAGGTTCCACAGAAATTTCGTTACCCTTTTTTTACGGAAATGTTGTGGTATGTCCTCGCACGCTATGTTTATGTGTTGTTGGGTCATTCCCATTTGGAGGGAGAACCTTCGGTGGATGAAAATGAAATGTCAGCAAGGCCACACATCCATTTAACCCATTACGAGTTGTTTGGTCTCAAGGAAATTGTGATGTACCTCTATGATTTGCCACCGAATAAGAAAAATGTCCCGGAGTTGGTCAGAGATCCAGTGGCTCTCATTAAAGATGTACGTACCCTGGTGGAGCGTCATTGTAAAGATAAACCGGAACTGGCCATAACGGGGGAGTCGGTGTTGAAACCACCCGGCCTAATGCATCCACCATTTCAGGAATATGAGCGATCTAGGGTCAAGCAGGAAATAAAACAAGAGATCGCCAGGAAAAATGCAGAAATCATAAGGGAGCAACAACAGTTGGAGGCACAACAGGCGGCAGAGTCAGCGGCAGCTGCTGGCGGAGGTGCAGTTGGTGGCGGCGGTGGTGTGGTGGGTGTGGGGGGAGCTGGCACAATTATATCACATTTGGCCTTTAGCAGTGGTACCACCACCGTAACAACGGATAATGGTATTACCATAAAAAAGGAACCCATTGAAAATGGAACAACATCGCAGCAGCAGCAGGAACAATTACAACAAAATCAAACTCAGCAACCACCAACCTTTGTCTCACCCACAGATAACATTAAATATCGGCCTCCCAAGAAAATGCATTTAGCCAATGCTGTGGCGGCTGCTGCAGGCGTGACTGCGGGAGGTAATAATGGCAATGCTGTCAGCGTCATTGCCTCCTGTTCCAATTACAATAACAACAACAACAGCAGCAGCAATAACAATAGTAATAATCATCATACATCAGGAGGTGGTGGAACAGCAGCAGGAGGAGTTGGTGCATCGATAAACCACAATCTGACACCCCTACAAACCTCCCACAGCGGCCCATCAGCCGATAATTGTCTCTCACCCAATAACGAATCATCGAAAATATCACCAAATGTCACTGGTCTAGGTCAGCCGCGACGTCGTCGTACCCGCTGCAAAAATTGTGCCGCCTGTCAGCGATCCGATTGTGGGGAGTGTAGTTTCTGCCTGGATATGGTAAAATTTGGTGGACCCGGTCGGGCGAAACAAACCTGTATGATGCGTCAATGTCTCTCACCCATGCTGCCGGTGACAGCTCAATGTGTTTTCTGTCATTTGGATGGTTGGCGTCAAACGCCCGTTTCACCACAAACCAAACAATTGGCAGCAATCGATGGACCCTCGGCATTAATGGAATGCTCGGTGTGCTATGAAATTGCTCATCCCGATTGTGCTCTCTCCGCCTTGGATGGTACCGAATATGCTGCCGATGCTAAGGGTATTGTTAACGAGGATCTGCCGAATAGTTGGGAATGTCCCAGTTGCTGTAAATCGGGAAAAAATAATGATTATAAGGTAAGTGGGAGAGGCAAGGATTCTAAAGGTCTCGTAGACGTAAAAAAACACGTTCAGAGACATAGAAGAACTTTCAGAGGTCTTTAAAAGGAATTTGGTCTAGCAAAGATCTCTTAAAGACGTAATCAATGTCGGAGTTCTTCTACGGTAGAAGGTCTAAAGGTGGTGTCTAGGAGGAGAACATTTTTCATTAAAAAATCTACGCCTTATTGGAGCCTTGAAAAAATATTGTTTAAAAAATCGATGCCTTATTGGAGCCTTGAAAAAATATTGTTTAAAAAATCGACGCTTTATTGGAGCCTTGAAAAAATATTGTTTAAAAAATCGACGCCTTATTGGAGCCTTGAACAAATATTTTTTAAAAAATCGACGCCTTATTGGAGCCTTGAAAAAATATTCTTTAAAAAATCGGCGCCTTGAAAAAATATTCTTTAAAAAATCTACGCCTTGGCCGACAGACCTTGAGAGACCATATAAAATATACCTTGTTCGACCTTCAATACCTCTAGATGAACTTATAAATGATATTCTATCTAAGAATACCTTTTTTTGGGGCTCTTCTATCCCTAGACGACCTCTGAAACTTCTGCTATTTGGAGAATGCCTGTTTAAGTTATTTTATTTATTGAAGACCCTTGAATCCCTCTTCCCCATGATTTCCTATTTTTTTTTTTTTACTTACCAACCAACTTTTCTCCAATTCTTTTTTTCTTTTTTTTTTTCCAGCCACGTCATTTTCGTGCCAGACAAAAATCCTCGGAAGTACGACGCACATCGGTGGGTGGTGTTAACATTGTCGGTGGAGATTTTATTGATGGCGGTGGTGGTTCCCACCTTCCCGGAAATATTAACAATCATCATCATCACTACAATGATTTTGTTTTTACCAGTGAATCGGAAATGGAAAGCGGCTCGACGGCGGCCACCAACAACAGCAATTGGAAACATGGCGTCAAACGTCACATGACGACCATCGAAGTGAAAACGGAACGTAGCTATGACACCCCCTCGCCCGGCATATCACCCACAGCTGTGGATAAAATTAAACGACGACGCAGCGACGATGGTCTGAGCATGTGCAGCAGTATGCAGGATAGTATAGATGCGAATGCCTCCATCGACTGCAATGTAACGGGAGGACAGGGTATGGGTTCAGGTGGTGGTAGTGGAGGTTGCGGCCCAGGAAATCATGGTTCACGCAAGAAGAATTCGGTACGATCTCATTTGGCACAACAAATGTTGAACTCTTCGACGAGGGTTTTAAAAAAGCCGCAATATGTGGTACGACCGGGTTCGACACACACATCGGCGGGGACTGTGGGTGGTGCATATGGTAATAACTTGATGAGCGGTAATGGTGGTGGCGGTGGTTATGTCGGCCCCAATTTGGCACTGGATCCCACCCTCTTGAAAATCATCTTCCGCTATTTACCCCAAGAGACACTGGTCACCTGCTGTTCGGTGTGTAAAATTTGGTCAAATGTTGCCGTCGACCCTGTCCTTTGGAAGACCATGAATTGTTCGGAAATGAAACTCTCTGCCTCGTTGCTAACAGCCATTGTCCGCCGACAACCCGAGCATTTGATCTTGGATTGGACCCAGATAGCCAAACGACAATTGGCCTGGATAATTGCCCGCCTGCCTGCCTTGAAAAATCTCTCCCTACAAAATTGCCCCATACAGGCGGTTTTAGCCTTGCACACCTGCCTCTGCCCTCCCTTGCAAATATTAGATTTAAGTTTTGTGCGTGGTCTAAATGATGCAGCCATACGTGATATACTCTCGCCACCCAAAGATTCACGACCGGGTCTGGCCGATTCGAAGACACGGCTGCGGGATCTAAAGACTCTTAAGTTGGCTGGTACGGATATTTCCGATGTGGCGTTACGCTACATTACGCAGTCGCTACCGCATTTAGTCCATTTGGATGTATCGTCGTGTCAGCGTATAACCGATGCAGGGGTGGCACAAATTGGCACATCACCGACGGCAATTGCAAATTTGATTGAATTGAATTTGAGTGCATGTCGTTTGGTGTCCGAGCTGTCGTTGGATCATTTGGCCAAGTGTGATCAGCTGATATGGCTGGATTTGAGGCATGTACCACAGGTTAGCACCCAGGCGGTCATCAAATTTGCAGCCAAATCCAAACATGATTTGTGTGTGAAAGATATAAAATTGGTGGAGAAACGTAAGCCGCCGCCACAGACGACGCCACAATCATCGGCGGGTGGTGGGGGTAGTAATTTTTCGGCTTCCACTACACCAATTTCTTCAGCTGCTGGTTCAGCAAGTAATTGGAATGATTAGAGGAGGAGGATTTTTTGGTAAAGAGCACCACTCCACACACGAAAGCCAAAGATTTTCGAAAATCTTTACAAGACGACGTTGCCGCCGCTGCCCTCACCAATTATCTTCCCAAGAAACAAAATATCTCATTTCATGTAGTTGGAAAAAAGAAAAATTCTTCTTTCTTCTTCATTGTTTATCCCTCTTTTGTCGTACTTCATCATTTTTAAGACTTGAAAAAGAAAAGAAAAACAACAAACAATCATTTAAAGTATCTCTTTAAGAAGGCATTCCTCTCTCGCCCTCGAAAGGCCCCCCGTATCTCCCTCTTCTTCCCTAATATGTAGGTCCATTTTTAAGTAGCTTTAAAAAAGTTAAGCGTCCTTCCCTCCTTCTCCTTCCACCCCCAGTTTTAAACTTCAAATCTCCAATAACCGATAACCAGAAAACTCTAAATGTCAATAAACAAATATTGAAATAAATAATAATATTATTATTATTTTAAGAATTAAGGATCCCATATTTACTAATTACAGTTCAGCTAATTATAATAACAACAACAAGAAAATAACAAACACCACCCTCCTCCCTCCCCCTTTTTCCCATTGCACATTAGGTGTCATATTTAAAATTTTATAAATTTTAAATAAATTTACAACATACATATATATTGTATTATATATATATCTATATATTTACACATTGATCACTTTAAAAAAAAAAAAAACAACAACAAGAAAATAATATACACATACAAATATATTTAAAAAATAAAAACCCAAGTCTATTTTAAAAAATAAAATAAATTATGTTTAAGATCAAAAATTATGAAAAATAAATGTATAACAAACAAACAAATTTAACCCAAAAATTTATTTTTTTGAAAAAAGATGTTTTATTTTTTATTATTTCTTAAATGAAGAAGAAAATGTTTCATAGGGAATTTGTTTAGAATATCATTCTTTGCCTTGGGCATGGGTTAAAAAAATATTCTTTAAACAAAATCTAAGCCTTGTCTGAACTCTAAAAAATATTTTTGGCTTTGGGGTACAAAAAATAACATTTAAGAATCTTCGCCAATGGTAGGGTTCAAAAAATTGTTCTTTAAAAAAATCCAAGCCTTGTCTGGGCTTTAAAAAAATATTCTTGGCCTAGGGTAGAGTTAAAAAATTGTTCTTTAAAAAAATCCAAGCCTTGTCTGGGTTATAAAAAATTATTTTAAAAATTTTTGGGTAGAGTTGAAATTTTTTTCTTTAAAAAGATCAAAGACTTGTCTGACCTCTGAAAAGTATTCCTTAAAAAATCTAAGTCCTAGAACCCAGACAAGTCCTCTAAAAAAATCAATGTCTTATAAAAATGGACATAAAATATTAAATTTGTGCATAAAACAATCGCAGCTATCAATTTAAAAATCCGCCTAAAAGTATGCTATAATTTTCTATACAAACAACCAACAGCCGTTGAGAAGAAAAAAAGTTGCCGTTTAACAAAATCCATTTTGTTTTTTAGATAACAGGTGCCCAGCACCGAACAGTAGGTATATTTCAGAACATCGTTGAATTCAAATACAAATAACTCGGTGACTATTAAACCGATTTTCATGATTTTTGTACAAATGGTTGGAGGAAATTGTAAAGTTTTATTTAATATAGACAATATAAAATCAGCATTATGTGAAAGTTGTAAAATATTTTAAATATCGGCTATTTTTATACGAAATTGTTTTATATTGTTGGAAGATGGGGCTTATCGGCAGCTTTCTTGTAGTACCTTCCCCAAAAAGGGACAATATTTCCAATTTTTATAAAACCAATATGTGCGATTTGACACAAACTCTACACATTGTAATATTTTTACCAATCCTAGATCAAATCCAAAAATGGGACGTATCAGTCCACTCCTTCGTTCGGGTACCTCTTGCACAAAGTGTATTTTTTTTTATTTTTTTACAATAAACTATAAATGTTTATACTATAAGAATACCTACTTTTGGTATTATCTGTGAAAAATCCTTCTGGTATTCTATAGACCCAGATCTTAAATCCACATACAAGCCAAACAAACATGTTTCTCTTTTTTATTTCCACTAAATTTTTCATTCGAAATCCGTTTATTTTTTTCATAAATTCTAATTTTTGTATCAGAGATAAACATACTTTTTCTATTAATATTTAGCTTGTTTATAATCGGGTTCATCTGAAGATGTTTTGGATTTACGTTTTTGTATAATACCCTAAAAACAGAAAAAAGTAAATAAAATGAATACGAATTTTGAAAATTCTTGCCAATCTTTACTCACCTGAATCTTTTGCCATTCTCTATCCAATTCGGCTTTTTCACTTTTCTCGGTTTTATTTTTACGTGTCTTACGACCATCTTGCATTTTAACCCCGTATTGGAAGGCGGCCTTCGGCAAAGCTTCTTTGGTACTCATATAATCTGAGTACTCTTCCTGCGTATCAAAATCCCAACGACCGATGGGACCTTTTTTATTACCCAAATCCATTTTCGTATAATCCACTTCATCATCAGAATCATCAATGGCATCATTCATTTCTTCCAAACCGGGATAACATTCAGCATAACCTTCAGGTTCATTGGCAAAGCGCGCCACAATGGATTTATTGATTTTGGGTGGTGCTGGTATCGTGGTGATAATTGGTTCGGGTTCCTCTGCCGCCTTGTTGCCATCATTGAAATAGCTGGCTGGTTTTGCAGCTACCGAAGATGATGATGTGGCCGCTGTCGATCCGGATGGAGCCAAGAATTTGTCATTTGTTTTGGTTTTGTTGTTGTCCGGCTTTAGGGTCGGCTGATAATCACCAATATCATCATATATAGAATCCACAACCGGCACCGCCTTATTCAATGCCTTCGAAGAGGCATTCAACTCATGTATATCCCGTTCGTGGAACAGTGGCTTATCTTTGTCACGTTTTTTGTTTTTCTTGTTGCGGCCACCAGCACGCAAATATGACAGGATTTGAGATAATTTATTAATGACAATGTCATTTGTGGTCAAAGTGGCGGCATCTTCACGATTTAGGGGAACTTCATATTTTGACCGTATCAGAGTTGTGGGTATATCTGTTTCGGCATTTTCGTCATCTTCCAAATCGATGACATAGGCCATCCTACCCGGGGCAAACAACTCACAACGCTGTACTTCTTTGGACCTTCTGGCTTGTATCAAATTGAAAATATTCCGTGCCATTGGTCCCTTAATATTCATATTGTCTTCCATTTCTCTTCGCTCGGCTTCCAAACGTTCTGCCGCCGCAGCAGCTTCCATTTTTTCATTAGCTGCCGCGGCCAATTCCCGTTCTCTTTCCTCCTGCTCTTTCACTTGCAATTCAGATCGGACCTTCTGCAACAGGGCATAATCAAGACCCTTGACCAAATGGGTATGTTCCATATCACCACCCAAAAATTTAGATTCTTGAATTATCCTGCGTCTTCGTTCGGCAGCATCAATACCGGATTTCATATCGGGTGCCACCGCCCTATAAGCATTTGTGGTACTATTGTGTCCAGGTGTTCCAACATTTTGATAATCCGGATTAGCTCCATCTCTTCTTTCGCGAGCACGATCACGATATTTTTCCGATAGTTCCTGTAGCTTATTGTCCTCTTGTTTTTTAAGGGCAGCATAATAGTTTTTCTTTTTTCGCCTGAGATCACCACGTTCACTCGAATTTCCATGACTGCTTTTCTTTTTTTCTGCTGAGGCAGGTGTGCCAGGGGTGGCAAAGGTAGCTGGTGTAGCAGCAGCACTTGCTGTTGCTCCCGCACTTCCACCGCCGCCTGGTGGAGCACGAGGTGTGGCCAATAGTCGACGAAAATCATCGTTGGTTAAACGCACCGATGGCGGTGCCTCCGTGTGGGCTTCTGACATTTTTCCAAAGAGGAAAACAATTTTCTTCCTTTCTGAATGAAAATAGTTCAACTGAAGTATTCACTATAGGAAATGGTGTGAACTAGTGATTTGTTTGCTGCAGCAGCAGTATTTGTTTGGCAAAAGCTGTTCATTGTTTTGGGGAGAAGCTTAAGTAGTACGCAGCGTTTGTGTCATATGGTGTTCGCAGTGATGGTGGGGCATCGGGAAAACAATTTTTTCATTCCTGGAAATAAATCAGTATGCCAATGGAAGAAGAATTAAAATTTTCAGCTCAGCCAATCTAACAGAAGTTTTAAGTGTTTTTATTTGATGGATTTGGATTACATTACGTTTACATTTAACCGGATTTCGTTAACCCAGTGGGTTTCAATTGTCAACTCCTTTGAATATATTTCAAATAAATCCTCATAAAGAAGGTTAACCCCTGTAAAAAGTTCTAATGTACATGTCGTTTTATTTTCTATTCGTGTCTAAACTACCACAAATAGTCATGCTAGCGGGTTGATATCAAGGAGTGAAACATTCTACATCAAATTTCACTTTACGTTTCTGAACAAAAGATATCGCTAGTTATAATGGGTAACCTTTCAAATATCATTTCCAATTTGAATGATGAATAATATTTTTGTATTGTTTAGGTTATTTTTGAATCGTGTCAAAATCTCTTACATTATGTCATCCTAGCGGGTTGGTGTCAAGGAATCATATATTCTACATCAAATTTCATTATATGTTTCGGAACAAAAGATGTCGGCATTGGAACACATATATCATTTGAATGGCAAATTGAATTTGTATGAAAAGAGATTCTTTAATTTTTTTAGGTTATTTCGGAATTGTGGCAAAATCTCCCACAAAATGCCATTGCAGGAGGTCGATGTCAAAGAATAAAATAATCTTCATCGAATTTCATTATAAGTCCCTGAACATATTTTATAGGCAGCTATAATACATATAGCTTTTAAATGTCTTTTTTTTAATTTGTATTAACAAATACTTTTGATTTGTTTAGGTTATTTTCGATTTGTGCCCAAATATCCCACAAAATGCCATCCAAGCGTGTCGTTGTCAAGGAAGGAAATATTATACATTAAATTTTAGTATAAATCTCCGAAAAATAAAATTCGTAGCTATACTACTATACTACTTCATTTAAATGTCGATTTAAATTTTAGATTATTACATTGCAGATTTGTGCCAAAATCTCCTACAAAATTTCATCGTGGCGGGAAGGTCTCAAGGAGTGATATATTCTACATTAAATTTTAATATATGTCTCGGAGTAAAATAAGTTGGTAGCTCCGATTGTACATTATTTATATATCTATTTGAATTTGTATAAAATAATAATTACTATTTTTTTTTAGTTTTTTCCCGATTTGTATCAAAATCTCCCACAAAATTTAATCCTGGCGGGATGGTGTCAAGGAGTGATATATTCTACATCAAAATTTAATATTTGGTACATATGATACAAATATCAATTAAATGTTCATTTAAATTTGTTAAAATTAATAATTTTTGACTTTTTAGGTTATTTACGATTTGTGTTAAAATCTCCCATAAAATGTCATCCTAGCGGGTTGGTGTTAGGGCATAAAATATTCTACATCAAATTTCACTATAAGCTTCGGAACAATATATATTGGTATATAGAATACTTATATCATTTAAATGTTAATTTCAGTTTGAATAAGTTGATATTTTTGATTTTTTAATGTTATTTTCGATTTGTGTTGAAATCTCCAACAAAATGAAATCGTAGCGGGTTGGCGTTCAGGCATGAAATATTCTACATTAAAATTCAATATAAGTTTCGGAACAATAGCTATTGGTATAGGGAATTCTTATGTCATTTAAATATCAATTTTAATTTATATTAGTAGACATTTTTTGATTTTTAAGGTTTATTTCGATTTGTGTTAAAATCTCCCATAAAATGTCATCGTAGCAGATCGATGTTAATGAATAAAATATTCTACATCGAATTTCACTATATGTCTCGGAGTAAAATAGATAAGTATTTATGATACATATATCATTTAAATGTCAATTTGTATTTGCATACATAAATATTACTTATTTTTTAGGTTATATTGGATTTGGGTCGAAATCCCTCACATTATGTCATCTTAGCGGGATGCTATCAATGAAAGAAATAATCTACATCAAATTTCACTATGTGTCTCGCATGAAAATTATTTGGTAGTTATGCTTCATATATTATTAAAAGGTAAATTTAAAATGGAATATACGAAATGACGAATTTATTTTTTTTTAGGTTATGTTGGATTTGGGTCGATATCTCCCATTAAATATTAAGATAGACCTTATGTATCAAAGAAAATGATATTCTATAGAAAATTTCACTATAAGTCTTCGACCAAAAGAAATCTGTATATATCATTTAAAGGTAATTTTAAATTTGAATTAAAAAAAATTTAAAAAAAAATATTTTATTTTTTTAGGTTATGTTGGATTTGGGTCGATATCTCCCATTAAATATTAAGATAGAGATTTGGTATCAAAGAAAATATTCTATAGGAAATTTCACTATAAGTCTTCGACCAAAAGAAACCTGTACAATAATTGAAATTAAAAAAAAAAAATACATGGAAATACGACTTAAGAAATGATGTTAAAATTTTTCTCCAAATTTCTCCGAACATATTTCTTATATATTTATATATATATATATACCCATTTAATCCTCCTCCTTCAAAGAAATGTATTGTTTTTTCTTTAAGAATCTCAATATGTAAACTCTTTACCTCACTTACCCAAAACGAATCTGACTTAATCGTTAAACATGCATACATATATTAAATAATGAATTTAAGAAGAAGTAAAAAAATTATAACAGAAACAAGTTTTCGTTTTTTTTTTGTATTTTGGAGACACACTCCTCAAAAAAATATTATTTTGAAGAATACACAAAAGCGGCATTGGCAAACCGCAGCCAATGTTTCACCGATTCTGAGATGCACATGCCTGATAACCAGATTGTTTTTTATTTTCCAGATTCAGAGACAAGGTTTTTTAAAACAACCACAGCTTGTGTAGACTTCAGTCAAACAAAAGCAGCAGCCGCAAGTGGTAATAAAAAAAATAAGCGGCAAAACCAGTGATCTTCTGAAACGCGAATAAAAAAATCGAATTCAACGAGCGGGATTAGACAAAAGCGAAGAGAGATTACGAACTATTAAAAATAACAAAATTGTAAGAAAATTAAATATCAAAAAAATTGGAATATTGTGAACTTTTGGGTTAAACGAAAGATTAATTGAAAAAAAAACTACATTAAATTAGGCCAAGGTTTTAAAAAATTAACGAATCGTGTATTTTCAAAACGAAAAAAAGGAAATGAAGAACATTTTGTGTTTTTGCAAATAATAGAGGCAATAAACGTGTAAGCCACAAAAGCAATAATGATAGGGAAGCTAATGAACCCAGCCAAACACCACCTACCTGTCATTGTTAAGGTCAAGAATATGGATTGTTGTGGCCATAATAAAAAAAAACCAAATACATGTGAATGTACATACAGTTGATCAAAAATATGTTTTCAAAGTGTTTTTTTAATGGTTGCTAGAAAAAAAATTCCAAAAAATGGGTTTTGAAATATTTTCTACTGTCCACCTAAAGAACGACTTTGGAAAATCCCCCTCGTAATTTAATAGTCTGCTATTTTTAACAAAACAGGAGTAACAACATTTAAGAATGAGCCCAACCGTCGAACGTTAGTGTGTTTGTGTCTGGGAATTTTGTAGTAGATGACGACAACGATTTAGTGCGTTATTAAAAATCTAAGAGAATATTCTTACTCTAGTATTCGAAAGTTCCAAAACCAGTTTAATATTGCAAAAAAAAAAAAAATCCCCTCCCACCGATTTTTATTTGTTGTCATTTTTTTTTGTTTTCCCCAGAAGCTAGGCAAGAGATTTCTTCAAGGTTGCCATTGGTACGTAAAATACCAAAATCGAAAATAATAACAATGTGAGTAATAGAGGTGAAACCCGCTATAGCTCTTTGGTAAAATACGCACACACACACACACGAACACATACCTATATTTACATACATGTTAATATAATTACCATATTCGCAAATAATTCTCATTAAAATAGCAATAATAACAACAAGGAAGAATAATAAACAAATGATTTTATTATTAAACAAATAGATTTGTGTGTGTATGTGTGTGTGATTTCGGAGAAGTTCAATAAATGGGGGGAAATAGGAAATCCCCCAAAAAATAAAATATTTTTCGGGGAAATAAAAGAACCATATCATGATTTTGGAAAAGCCAATTAAAATTAGTAAATAAATCAATAGTTAGAAATGGTATAGCAAATAAAAAAACTAATTTAATTATTAAAAAAATTGGGATCAATTTTCAATAAAATTTTAAAAATTTTCCGTATATATTTCAATGCCTAATTTATTTATTAAATTAGTGAGCGGAGCAGTATAGTCGGACGGTGCCAACCATACGATACCCTACACAACTACCACGGAACTCTAACTTTCTGCCGATTTTTATTCCGAGGCTGGGCAACATTTCGTAATAGTTGCATTCTCTTGACCGACTTGAGGTCAACAAATAATAGTAATCATAACTTGTCCAGATTCCCTTTACCCTCTAGTGTGATAATGTGTTACTAAATAATATATGATTACGTAAGCACCTGTAAATATTTAAGTATAACTCCCACACCGAGTACATAGGACAATATAATTGGTATCAATTTAAAGGTCAACCACTCCTTTTGGATATATTATCAACTTCTCGGGTATATGTTCTTCAGAGGTAAATATATCCGCTATATAATACATGTTTTGTAATTTTTTCACACAAAAGTGTCAATTTGACCCGCTAAATATTGACCGATATTTCTCAAAGCAGGCATGCTTATTCTTTGGCCCGACCACCTTTTCCATGTAAAAATTCGCGATGTTCGGGCCATAATTGCGGCCTCTGGAGCGACCAGAAAATCTACATACACCAATCCTACACTCCCACAGTGATCCTAAATACAAGTTTCAGGATTCCAACTCTATCGGTTCACCCACAATCCTACATATCTCGATCATACACCTCATCAGTGATCCTGACTCCAAGTTTCATGATTCTAGCTCTATTGGTTTACCTAAAATCCAAATTTAGTACCATTTAGTACTCATAAGTATTAATTTCTTAAACTGAATCCTGGCCCCAATCCCACACCCTGACTCCAAAAATCATTGTTCCCGCTCTATCGATTCACCCAAATCCAAACTGTAGTACTTTTCGTACACATAATTAACGAATTTCCAAAACTACGTTCATATCCCAATCCTACACTCCGACGGTAATGGTTATTTCAAATTTCAGGATTCCAGTTCGATTTGTATCTTCAAATTAAACTTGTACCAAATATAGTACCCTATAGTACTTTTCGTACACATGAGTACACACTTTCACAACCATCTCTTTAAATAGACGCTACATCTCAACTCTCATTCGCACTCCAAATTTCAAGTTTTTAGCTCTATCTATTCTCACGCTAGGAAATTGTACCAAATTTAGTAAATTTTAGTACTTTTCGCGTACTTATAGTTCGAATGTCCAAAAACCACATTGCTATATCTATTCAATACTCCATCAGTGACCCTCATTTAATTTAATTTAAGAGTCCTAGTTCTACCGGTTCGCCAAATACAAATGGTATCATATTTAGTACTTTTCGTACCGTTCTAGTACGAATTTCCAAACCAAGACCAAGAGTGACACTCAGCCAAAATTTCTAGATTCTAGCTTCAGCCGTTTCGTCTGGGCGTTGATGAAACGTTAAATCAGTCAGTCAGTCAAATCCCCAATATTTCCCCGTATATGTGTATATGTAGTACGTTAATAACCATATGTAAATATAATAAACATATGACATTGTTTATTTTGCAATTAATAAAATTCTCATAAATCTACTAATAACAATGGCGAATAATAATAAACAAATAATAATAAATGTCGATTTTAGTTTCTTTAAGCAAAATAAAACATTCACATATAATAGGTTCGTTCGTTTACTTTCCCAGTAATATTTACTCAGTAAGAATTTGCAGAGAGTAAATACGAATTTTTCCTTTTCAAGAGAGAAAACTGCAAAAAGTAAACGAACAACATTTAGTAAAAAGATTGTTTTGACACAGCTGATTAAAGCAACAATCAAATTGGCGCAAACTAAAAAACAGCATTTTTATTAGAAAAATGGATAACAAGCAGAAAATTGATGTTGTTTGTTCCCCACAAACATTTAAAAGGGTTGTGACCTGTTTTTCCTGTATCTGCAATTGATATGGGGGTTGACATAACCTATGGTGTTCCAGACATGTTAGGGATGCACAATTTTTTGTTTGGATTTGGAACCTAAAAAATCGTTCGCCAATTACTCTTGTATTACCTTATTTTTAAATACTTGAGTTTTCTTCATCCATTTTAGTATTTAATGATACAAAATCAAAATATAATTCACAAAACAATCAATTTTCTTGAGAACAATTTTTTGTTTGTTTACAAAACATAACAAAACAGCTGATTAAATATCAGCTGATGGTACAAGAAAATTCTTACTGAGTAAATTTTCCTTGTAAGAATTTGCAAATACTCAGTAACACAACTGTCAAATCTGCTCTCTCAATTCACTCTCTTTTACTGGACTTTTGGGTAAACGAACAACATTTTGTAATAATTTGTACAAATTCGTACAAATTATTGAGTAAACGAACGAACCTAATGTCAAACAATGACAACTGAAATTAATATCTAAATTTTGAGAAAACAATGCATATCAACATTTTGACATATAATAGGTTCGTTCGTTTACTTTCCCAGTAATATTTACTCAGTAAGAATTTGCAGAGAGTAAAATACGAATTTTTCCTTCTCAAGAGAGAAAACTGCAAAAAGTAAACGAACAACATCCAGTAAAAAGATTGTTTCGACACATCTGATTAAAACAACAAACAAATTGGCGCAAACTAAAAAACAGCATTTTTATTAGAAAAATGGATAACAAGCGGAAAATGTATGTTGTTTACCAATAGTTGCGTTTTCTTCATTAATTTTAATGTTTAATAATACAAAATCAATATAAAATTCACAAAACAATCAATTTTCTTGAGAACAATTTTTTGTTTGTTTACAAAACATAACAAAACAGCTGATTAAATATCAGCTGATGGTACAAGAAAATTCTTACTGAGTAAATTTTCCTTGTAAGAATTTGCAAATACTCAGTAACACAACTGTCAAATTTGCTCTCTCAATTCACCCTCTTTTACTGGACTTTTGGGTAAACGAACAATATTTTGTAATAATTTTTACAAATTCGTACAAATTATTGAGTAAACGAACGAACCTAATGTCAAACATTTTGAGGGTTTTATCGCTTAATGACATTTATACAAAATTGTCGAATTTTAATTGTTTGAAGATTACAAAAAAAAAAAAAAATACTCAATATTATCAGTTGTTACTTAGACTAAGCCATATGTTTCTTATCTCTTGAATTAGAATAAACAAAATAATAAAATAAACAAAAAAAGAATGGAAAAAATATATATAAATTGTGTCACTGTCACCCTATAGGTCACTGGTTAATGAACTGATAATATTAATATGAAACTCAATACTATTAATCACCAAAGAAAGTGAATTGGTCATTGAAAACTGTGTAAAACAATTTCTTGAGTAAACAAAATTCAACTACAATTTCGATCATGAGATCCGCAATTTTCTGTTGGTAAATATCAAATTTACCAAAATCATTTCTTCGGTGACTTATAGTGAAATTTGATGTAGAATATTTCTTCAGTTGACATCGACTCAGTAGGATTTGATATTGAGGGAGTTTTTGGCATATTGCTTAAAAAAAAAACTCAAAATTAGACAAAGGCTACATATACATATCAAATTGTAACCCATATTTTATTTGAATATATCATATCTATAGATTTTTGTCTTCGGTTACCTATAGTGAAATTTGATGTAGAATATTTCGTTCATTAACAATAATATTCTAAAATTAAGTGTTCATCCAAAATTGGGCATTATTTGAAAAAGACCCAAAGAAACAAAATACCAATACTCTTATAAATATTGTAATATTCTGATTATATATAAATAATGCAGATTATATATTAATATTGTAAAAAACTATCCTCTCTCTTATTTTCAGATCTTCCTCCCGTAAAATGTTCCCTTTGCGACTGAGCTTGGTCGCCTTGGCGTTGACCTCGGTGGCTTTGGTCAAGGCTTTGCCTCAACAACAAAATAATGTCAATGATCCTGAATTGACAAAATTGATTGACAATTTTTTCAATCAGCAGTCGCAACAACAACAACCCCAACAACAACAGCAAGTAGCTTCAACTCCCACTCGGGCACCAAGTGGTTTTGCCCATATTGTTACACCCGATCCCAATGGTGGCAATACAATAACCGGTTCCATAAGCGGTCGCCAACAATGCAACTGTGTCCCCTATCACATGTGTGATCCATCTACCAATTCCCAAACATCTAATGGCCAGGAGGAGACACCCACCGATGATGTTTCGCTGCTAATTGATATTCGCTTCAATGCCGATGATCCCGTGTGTCCACATTTCTTGGATGTCTGCTGTGATGGTGCCAATACCCGCGATGATAGCATTACACCCACACCACAGGAGCAGAAACCAAATCGTCCCAAAGGTTGTGGTATTCGCAATGTTGGCGGTATTGATTTCAACATCACCGGGGCTTTGGATAATGAAGCTGGGTTTGGTGAATTCCCCTGGACTGTGGCCCTCTTGGATTCTGGTAATTCCAGTTATTTCTGTGCGGGGTCCTTGATTCACCCCAGCGTTGTATTGACTGGGGTCCATTGTGTCATTAATCGTCCATTGAATAGTTTCAAAATTCGTGCTGGTGAATGGGATACCCAAACGACCAAGGAACGTTTGCCATATCAGGAATCGGCACCAGCCAAGGTGGTGCAACATCCTCGCTATAATCCCCGCAATGTGGGCTATGATTTTGCTTTGATTATTCTGCAGACACCCTTTACCTTGGGCGATCACATTAATGTGGTGTGTTTGCCACCGGCAAATAGTGTACCCATCTCTGGAACTACCTGCTTCTCAACCGGCTGGGGTAAAGATCAATTTGGTGCCCAAGGACGGTTCAGTGCCATTATGAAACGTTTGCCACTACCCATTGTGGAGTTCAATCAGTGCCAGTCGAAATTCCGTACAACACGTTTGGGACCGAAATTTGTTCTGGATCCTTCGTTTATTTGTGCCGGTGGTGAGGTGGGCATTGACACGTGCCAGGGTGATGGTGGTGCTCCATTGGTTTGCCCCACTGGTCCAGCAGCGGAGAATCGTTATCAACAAAACGGCATTGTTGTTTGGGGTATTGGCTGCAACGATCCCATTCCAGCGGCCTACGCCCATGTGGCACTGGCCCGCAGCTGGATTGATGAACAAATGTATGCTCACAATTTTGATACTACTTCGTATAGTATTTTCTAAAAAAGAAAAATCGAATCGAAATGGATTTTGAGATTTGAAAAAAGTAAAATTTTCAGTGAAATAAAAAAAGACTATGTAAGGTATAAAGGCAATGAGTTTTAATTATATATAAGTGGATATATTTCTATATATTGGTTGGAGACTTATAATGAAATTTGATGAGGAATATTTCTTCCATTTACATCATGCTTCTAAAATTAAAGGATTGTAGGGTAATTTGGTTCATTTAGAAAAAATGTTTGAAAAATAAATATCCCAAAAAGAGATATTCCAAATATATATATATATGCAGAATATTTCTCTTATTAACATCAAACCTCTAAGATGAAGATTTAGGAGACATTTTCGAACAAATAAAAAATCCCAAAAATAAAATATCCCAAAAAATGTCTTATAAAAATATTTAATTTGTTTCTAGATTTTTATGTATAATATATCATAGCTACGTATATGTCGTTGTTGTAGACTTATATTAAAATTTGATGCAGAATATTTTTCTCATTAACACTTAGCCTCTAAGATGAAGATTTAGGGGACACTTTGGACCAAAACGAAAATCCCCAAAAATTTCTATGAAAAATCCCCCAAGAAATATCTTTTGAAAATACCCAACTAAATTACTAAATTTTCATTGATATATATCCTAGCTATATATATATATATTTCCTGGTTGGAGACATATATTAAAATTCGATGCAGAATATTTCTTTCATTGACATCATCCCCCTAAAATGAAGTATTGTGGGACAATTTGACCAAATTAGAAAATATACAAACAAACTATCAGAAATTTTTTCCGAGAAATACTCGATTTATGAGAAGATTTTTAGGGAGATATATCAGGTCTATTTATATATCATGTTTGGAGACCTGTATTGAAATTTGATGCAGAATATTTCTGTCATTAACACCTAGCCTCTAACATGAAGATTTAGGGGACACTTTGGCCCAAAACCAAAATCCCCAAAAATTTATATGAAATATCTACCAAAAAATGTCTTCTGAAAATACCAATTTCGATACTATATTTTATGAATATATATCATAGATACAAATATTTTGTGTTTGAAGACATATGTTAAAATTTGATGCAGAATATTTCTTTCATTGACATATTGACCCTAAAATGAAGGATTATGGGACAATTTGACCAAATTAGGAAATGTGAAAAAAATTTCTCAAAAATAGCTTCTGAAAAAATGATTCATTTATAACTGATTTTCATAGAGATATATCAGGTCAACTTATATATCATGTTTGGAGATCTATATTGAAATTTTATCCAGAATATTTCTCTCTTCAACATTAAGCGTCTAAGATGAAGATTTAGGGGATACTTTGGACCAAAACCAAAATCCCCAAAAAATTATATGAAAAATCCCCTAAAAAATATCTCTTGAAAATACCCAAATTTGTTACTAAATTTTTTATGGTTATATATCATAGCTACAGATATTTTGTGGTTGGAGACTGATATAAAAAATCGATGCAGAATATTTCTTTCATTGACATCATCCCCCTAAAATGAAGGATTATGGGACAATTTGACCAAATTAGAAAATGCAAAAAAAAACTCTCAAAAATGTGTTCTGAAAAATACTCGATTTTAGGGAGATATATCTGGTCTACTTATATATCGTGTTTGGAGAACTATATTGAAATATTATGCAGAATATTTCTCTCATTAACACCTAGCTTCTAAGAAGAAGATTTAGGGGACACTTTGGCCCAAACAAAAAATCCCCAAAAATTTATATGAAAAATCCCCCAAAAATATCTTTTTAAAATACCCAATTTGTTACTGAATTTTTTATGGATATATATCAGAGCTACAAATATTTCGTGGCTGAAAACTGATATTTAATTTCGATGTAGAGTATTTCTTTCATTTGCATCTTGACCCTAAAATGAAAGGGTGTGGCAAAATTTGGCCCAATTGAAAAACGGGCAATGAAAAATCACTTTAAAAAATCTACTGAAAATTCCCGATTTGTTACAAGATTTTTGATGATAAATATCATCGATACAAATATTCGGTGGCTGGAGATTTATATTAAAATTCTATGTAGAATATTTCATTCATTAACATCAACCCTCTAAAACGAAGGATTGTGGGACAAAAGGGGGCAAATGGAAATTATATATAAACCAATTCTCTCAAAAAATCTTCTGACGGATAAATACGTATATACATCATAGCTACAGCTATTTCGTGGCAGGAGACTTATATAAAATTTGATGCAGAATATTTCTTTCATTGGCATCATGGTTCAAAAATTATTTATTGTGGGACAAATTGGCCCAAATCGAAAAATCCCTTAAAAAAGTTTTTTGGTGATTTATTGCAAAGTTTTATATCTACTTATTATTATTATTATTACAAATAAAAATAAAATTGTCAACAAATTTTAACATCTTAAACTATTCCTCCTTCAAATGATATTGGAATTCCTGTTCGCCACCATTACGATTAAAAATGCTCACGTAAGCCCAGGCGGTGCCAAATTTCAAAATGGCAATATAAGGCAAATATTCAATCAGTTGTTCATTTATCCAGGCACGGAAATTTAAATAACAGCGGACAATATCAAATTTATGCAGATAGGTAACAATAATCAAGGCATAAAAGACAATGAAGCGATCTAACCAACTTAAATCCTTATAGGCTAGACGTTGTTGAGGATCCGGCTTGCGTCGGGCGGGATAATCAAATTCAAAGTATTCATAACCTTTAACATAACACAAGCGCTTTGTTAGATAGATAAATGACCCGACAGTTAGGGTGGTATTGATGTGCCATAAACCGTCCAGTAATGCTTTGGCCATTTGTTGAAAATCTTCGGATGGATTTTCCAATGCCGGTTCATAGACTTTACGCATAACAATATCAAGTCTTAATTTAGTTTCCTTCCAATCGCGACCACAAATGTTATATTCATCTTTAATGCCTAGCAGATAACCCAAAACCCTCCACATATGTGCGGTGGCCTCCAGGAAATGTTCATCATCCAATTGTATACGATGAGCACCCAACGATAGAAATCCTATGAAGCCAAATTGTGTTAAGGCCAAATCTTTTTGGGTTATTTGTCCGGCACCGAGTTTGGCACACGCCCTACTTGATTTCGAATGAGCTTTACGCACTGCTTTAAGGCTAATCCAAAATTTCGATGATTTATCTTCTGGAGAATATTTATACCAAGAAATGGTGTGCAGCAGAGTTCTTACATATCTCCGATAAGCTGTGGCGGATGTGTTTGATTGTCTCGTACACATGAGTACCCGCAGAATTGAGGGTATTGCCAAGACGGCCACCAAACCCGACAGCATACCACTTTGTATAACAAAACGATATTTGTTCATGAAATTTTGACCTCTGTAAGAAAAAGACAAAATTTAATTTCAATTTTATATTATTACACCCCAATACACATGTGCTTTAAACTAAATTTAGTAAATGAAATTATTTTTTTTGAAAAATATTTCCATTCAAAATGTGTATATTTGAGGGTGTATCTATGTTTTTGTGTGTATTTACTCACTGTTTAAATAAATGCTCATCATACCACGATGGCAATTCCATATCGTAACCACTATCCCCCTCATTGCAACCATCCTCCAGTAAATGTTTTAAATAAGCTTCAGCTTCTGGGTGCTCTTCAAATGCGATTTCATCGCTGCCACTCAGGCATGCGGTTTTGTTTGGCTGATTATTGTTGATCGTGTTGCAGTTTTCCACAGCTGTAAAAGAGAGGGAGGAGGAAAAAAGAAAACAATGATAACTATTTTGAAATAAAAACAAATAATAATGAGGGGGCTAATAAAATCGCAAAGTAGTTACTTTGAGATACACTCAACTAGGGATTGGTCTTTGGCCAAAGTCCAGATAAATGTATTTATTTACTCGTTGATAAAATAACATATTTTTCTGAGGAAAAATTATTCGATTTACAAATTTTTGCTTGTCGATTACCTATAGTAAAATATTTTGTAGAATTTTTTTTTTCAATTGAGTCTATGGTCCCGAAATGAACTTGTGTAGGTCAGATTGGTTACAATACAAAAATCGCATTTTGTTTATATACTCAATTTGATAGAGGATTTTTATTGATATGTATCACATCTACAGATTTTTGTTGGTCGATGACCTATAGTGAAATTTTTGTGTGCAATATTTCTTCCATTGAGACCATGACCCTAAAATAAAGAACAGTGGGACACAATGGCCACAATACAAAAAATCGTAAAAAATACCACAAAAATATTTTTTGTTTATATTCCCAATTTGATAGCGGATTTTTATTGGTATATATCACATCTACATATTTTTGTTCGTCCATGACCTATAGTGAAATTTTATGTAGAATATTTTTTCCATTGAGACCATGACTCTAAAATAAAGAACAGTGGGACACAATGGCCACAATACAAAAAATCGTAAAAAATACTTTGTGTTTATATACCCAATTAAATAGCGGATTTTTATTGAAATATATCATATTTATAGATTTTAGTTGGTCGATGGCCTATAGTGAAATTTTATGTAGAATATTTTTTCCATCGAGACCATGACCCTAAAATGAAGAACAGTGGGACAATATGGCCACAACACAAAAAATACCCCAAAAATACATTGTGTTTATATACCCAATTATATAGCGGATTTTTTATTGATATGTATCTCAACTACAAATTTTTGTTGGTCGTTGACCTATAGTGAAATTTTATGTTTTGTTTATATTCAAAAAAAAAAAATTGCCCAAAATTATATTTTTTATATACCAATTTCGATTGCGGATTTTTATTGGTATATATCATATCTATAGATTTATGTTGGTCGGGGACTAATAGTAAAATTTAGTGTAGAATATTTCTTTCATTGAGACCAAGGCCCTAAAATGAAGAACAGTGGGACAAAATGGTCACAATACAAACAATCGTAAAATATAGCCCAAAAAATACTTTGTTTAGCGGATTCGATAGCGGATTTTTGTTGGAATATAACTATATATTGTTGTTGGTCCGCGATTTATCGTGAAATTTGGTGTAGAATATTTCTCTCATTGGGTCCATGACTCTAAAATGAAGAACAGCGGGACAAAATGTCACAAATCCGAAAGATATACAAAATAGACCCAAATATGCTCTTATGTATATAGCCTAATTTGATAGCGGATTTTTATTGGTATATATCATATCTACAGATGTTTGTTAGTCCGCGAATTATATTGAAATTTTGTGTAGAATATTTCTTTCATCGCGACCATGGACTAAAAATAAAGTACAGTGGAACAATTTGCTTCTATTCAAAAATGTTGCAATAATATTCCCCGATAAATATTTTCTTTAAATAGGAAATTTCGTAATAAATTTTAAGGGACTTTTATCCCAACCTAAAGTTTTCTTGTAGTTGCTGGCCCATAGTGAAAGTTGGTGTAGAATATTTCTCTCATTGGAACAATGACCCTAAAATGAAGAACATTGGGACAAAATGGCACAAATTCGAAAGATATACAAAATAGGCCCAAATAATTTAGCATAATTTGATACAGGATTTTTATTGATATATGACAGGTTTTTGTTGGTCCGCGACTTATAGTGAAATTTGGTGTAGAATATTTCCTTCATTGAGTCCATGACCCTAAAATGGAGTACTGAGGCTCAAAATAGCAATAGTTCGAACGATTTTTGTGCCTGATTTTCAGTGGTGTATTCCCTATCCTCAGGTGTGGAATATTTCCATCATTGAAACCCTGGTTGGCTACTTGAAACAATATTTTTTAAAAAATCAACGCCTTGTTGACTTGAAAAAATATTCTTTAAAAAATCCAAAAATTCGCCTTGTTAGCTACTTGAAAAAATATTCTTTAAAAAAACCAAAAATTCGCCTTGTTGGATACTTGAAAAAATATTCTTTAAAAATCCAAAAATTCGCTTTGTTGGCTACTTGAAAAAACATTCTTTAAAAAATCCAAAAATTCGCCTTGTTGGCTACTTGAAAAAAATAAAAAATCGCCTCTTGTCAGAACCTCAAAAAATTTTCTTTAAAAAATCCACGCCTTTTTGGTTACTTGAAAAAATAAAAAAATCCCGCCTTGTCAGAACCTCAAAAAATATTCTTTAAAAAATCCACGCTTTAAAAAATCCACGCCTCGAAAAATATTCTTTAACAAATCCAAGCCTTGTCAGAACCTCAAATAATATTTTTTAAAAAAATCCACGCCTAATAATTCACCTGGCAAATTGCATTATACAGTTCTCAACCTATACTCTAAAACAAAAATTTTCGTTTATTAGTACCAGTTTATTAATTAAATTTTCAAATATGTTTGATATTTTAATATTCACGAAAAAAACTAATTTTAAATCTTTTAAATTTAAATTATTATTTTTTATCATAAGCAGTGGTGTTTTCCTCTCTTCAAAATCTCTTGAAATTTAAAAATTGTTATTATATTATTTTTATATTAATATTATTTTATTTATTTAATATTTTATTAATATTATTTTCTTTCCTACATTTAACAATATCCAAAAAACTATCGATTTACTCTTCAAATTCCCTGATGGCATATTAATGCCGCCTGTCACACCTTGCATTGTTTTGATTCACATCCAAAAGACTTTCTCTTTTCACACGTAGCCAACACACTACACAATCACACACACACATACTCTCTGTCTAATACAGCATTAGCAAACATTTGGGAGCTACTTGCTCTCTCCCCACTAGGCATGTTTGTTATTGATTATTATTGTTGCTGTTCTAATTGCCGTTGTTATTTTTATTCATCATGCATTCATTTGCATTGTTTTTTTGCACTAGTTTGTCTCAGTGTAACTCGCACTCTCCCCACAATGCAAACTAAACACTGAGATACTCTCTCCACCATGCAATTCTTCTTCTGTGGAGCTTACCCATGTTTGTTGTTGTTGTTGAGGTATTACGGCAATTTATCTCCGCGGCAATCATGTCTTTATTCATTGTATCATTTATTTGGGGTGGGGGAAAGCAGGGAGATGAATTATTTCAATTAAATAACATTAAATTAGGATGACCAGATAACACGCAAATTTACATAACACTTGACCAGACCAGACGCGACACGACTATTTTACACTATTGTATTGGGGGTCGGTCTTATTTGGTTTGTTTGTAAACAACAATAAAAAAGTCCAACCGGTGGCAAGTAAAGCTCGGCAACCCGTTATCCGACCGTCACTCACTAAAGATAGTTATGAACTAAAAGTGCCATGAGGCAAAGAGATAAAACGTCAGTCAGTAGCAGTGTTGGGCAAAATTAAATTAAGAGCAAGTTTGTGCGAGCGTAACTGAGAATTCACAATTAAAAACGACTGACGCAAAGAGAAAGAAAGAGAAAATCTGTTAATGAGAATGTTATTTGACATAGAAAACAAAACACAAATGTTATAAACAGTTTTACATGAATGTTAATGCATAAACATGAATGTTATCACATCTATTGTTGGTTTGCTGTATTAGGGAGTAAAAGGGGAAATATTTAAGGCAAATTAATCATAGATTTTTAAAGAATATTTTTTGAAGCCTTGAGAGGGCGTAGATTTTTTAAAGAATATTTTTTGAAGCCTAGACAATGCGTAAATTTTTTAAAGAATATTTTTTGAAGGCTAGACAAGGCGTAGATTTTTTAAAGAATATTTTTTGAAGCCTAGACAAGGCGTATATTTTTAAAGAATATTTTTTGAAGCCTAGACAAGGCGTAGATTTTTTAAAGAATATTTTTGAAGCCTAGACCAGGTGTAGATTTTTTAAAGAATATTTTTTGAAGCCTAGACAAGGCGTAGATTTTTTAAAGAATATTTTTGAAGCCTAGACCAGGTGTAGATTTTTTAAAGAATATTTTTTGAAGCCTATACAAGACAAGGCGTAGATTTTTTAAAGAATATTTTTGAAGCCTAGACCAGGTGTAGATTTTTTAAAGAATATTTTTTGAAGCCTATACAAGACAAGGCGTAGATTTTTTAAAGAATATTTTTTGAAGCCTATACAAGACAAGGCGTAGATTTTTTAAAGAATATTTTTTGAAGCCTATACAAGACAAGGCGTAGATTTTTTAAAGAATATTTTTTGAAGCCTATACAAGACAAGGCGTAGATTTTTTAAAGAATATTTTTTGAAGCCTATACAATGCGTAAATTTTTTAAAGAATATTTTTTGAAGGCTAGACAAGGCGTAGATTTTTTAAAGAATATTTTTTGAAGCCTAGACAAGGCGTATATTTTTAAAGAATATTTTTTGAAGCCTAGACAAGGCGTAGATTTTTTAAAGAATATTTTTGAAGCCTAGAAAAGGTGTAGATTTTTTAAAGAATATTTTTTGAAGCCTAGACAAGGCGTAGATTTTTTAAAGAATATTTTTTGAAGCCTATACAAGACAAGGCGTAGATTTTTTAAAGAATATTTTTGAAGCCTAGACCAGGTGTAGATTTTTTAAAGAATATTTTTTGAAGCCTAGACAAGGCGTAGATTTTTTAAAGAATATTTTTTGAAGCCTATACAAGACAAGGCGTAGATTTTTTAAAGAATATTTTTTGAAGCCTATACAAGACAAGGCGTAGATTTTTTAAAGAATATTTTTTGAAGCCTATACAAGACAAGGCGTAGATTTTTTAAAGCATATTTTTTGAAGCCTAGACAAGGCGTAGATTTTTTAAAGAATATTTTTTGAAGCCTAGACAAGGCGTAGATTTTTTAAAGAATATTTTTTGAAGCCTAGACAAGGCGTAGATTTTTTAAAGAATATTTTTTGAAGCCTAGACAAGGCGTAGATTTTTTAAAGAATATTTTTTGAAGCCTAGACAAGGCGTATATTTTTTAAAGAATATTTTTTGAAGCCTAGACAAGGCGTATATTTTTTAAAGAATATTTTTTGAAGCCTATACAAGACAAGGCGTAGATTTTTTAAAGAATATTTTTTGAAGCCTATACAAGACAAGGCGTAGATTTTTTAAAGAATATTTTTTGAAGCCTATACAAGACAAGGCGTAGATTTTTTAAAGAATATTTTTTGAAGCCTAGACAAGGCGTAGATTTTTTAAAGAATATTTTTTGAAGCCTAGACAAGGCGTAGATTTTTTAAAGAATATTTTTTGAAGCCTAGACAAGGCGTATATTTTTTAAAGAATATTTTTTGAAGCCTATACAAGACAAGGCGTAGATTTTTTAAAGAATATTTTTTGAAGCCTATACAAGACAAGGCGTAGATTTTTTAAAGAATATTTTTTGAAGCCTAGACAAGGCGTATATTTTTTAAAGAATATTTTTTGAAGCCTAGACAAGGCGTAGATTTTTTAAAGAATATTTTTTGAAGCCTATACAAGACAAGGCGTAGATTTTTTAAAGAATATTTTTTGAAGCCTATACAAGACAAGGCGTAGATTTTTTAAAGAATATTTTTTGAAGCCTATAGACAAGGCGAAGATTTTTTAGAGAATATTTTTTGAAGCCTAGACAAGGCGTAGATTTTTTAAAGAATATTTTTTGAAGCCTCGACAAGGCATAGATTTTTTAAAGAATATTTTTTGAAGCATAGAACAAGGCGTAGATTTTTTAAAGAATATTTTTTGAAGCCTAGACAAGGCGTAGATTTTTTAAAGAATATTTTTTGAAGCCTAGACAAGGCGTAGATTTTTTAAAGAATATTTTTTGAAGCCTAGACAAGGCGTAGATTTTTTTAATAATTTTTGCCAAAGGCTATTTTTTGCAAGGCCTAGACAAGGCGTAGATTTTTTAAAGAATATTTTTTGAAGCCTAGACAAGGCGTAGATTTTTTAAAGAATATTTTTTGAAGCCTAGACAAGGCGTAGATTTTTTAAAGAATATTTTTTGAAGCCTAGACAAGGCGTAGATTTTTTAAAGAATATTTTTTGAAGCCTAGACAAGGCGTAGATTTTTTAAAGAATATTTTTTGAAGCCTAGACAAGGCGTAGATTTTTTAAAGAATATTTTTTGAAACCTCCACAGAAGGCGTGGATTTTTTAAAGAATATTTTTTGAAGCCTAGACAAGGCGTATATTTTTTAAAGAATATTTTTTGAAGCCTATACAAGACAAGGCGTAGATTTTTTAAAGAATATTTTTTGAAGCCTAGACAAGGCGTAGATTTTTTAAAGAATATTTTTTGAAGCCTATACAAGACAAGGCGTAGATTTTTTAAAGAATATTTTTTGAAGCCTAGACAAGGCGTTGTCAGAACCTCAAAAAATGATCTTTTAAAAATCCACGCCTTGTCAGAACCTCAAAAAATGATCTTTTAAAAATCCACGCCTTGTCAGACCCTCAAAAAATGATCTTTTAAAAATCCACGCCTTGTCAGAACCTCAAAAAATGATCTTTTAAAAATCCACGCCTTGTCAGAACCTCAAAAAATGATCTTTTAAAAATCCACGCCTTGTCAGAACCTCAAAAAATGATCTTTTAAAAATCCACGCCTTATAGCATCCCAAAAAATTATCTTTTAAAAATCCACGCCTTGTCAGAACCTCAAAAAAATTCTTTTAAAAATCCACGCCTTGTCAGAACCTCAAAAAATGATCTTTTAAAAATCCACGCCTTGTCAGAACCTCAAAAAATGATCTTTTAAAAATCTACGCCTTGTCAGAACCTCAAAAATTATCTTTTAAAAAACCACACCTTTATAGGATCTCAAAAAATGATCTTTTAAAAATCCACGCCTGGTCAGAACCTCAAAAATTATCTTTTAAAAAATTACACCTTTATAGGATCTCAAAAATTATCTTTTAAAAATCCACGCCTTTTGTAGGACCTAAAAATATTCTTTTAAAATCCACGCCTTTTGTGGGACCTAAAAATATTTTTTTAAAAATCCACGCCTTTTGTAGGACCTTAAGAAATATTCTTTTAAAAATCCGCGCCCACTGGCACTGATGTTCCTTTTATTTTCAGCTCTGTTATCGTTTTAAGTATTAAATATATTTTATTTTAACTGCTGTCCGCTTGACATGTTAATTTGCGCCTTAACATATGCTACAGCTAAAACGACATAACATGTATTGGTACTGTACACCCCTTTCTTATTACTTTGCAAACATAAGGCAATCGTTAATAAATTAACAAATATTTTCGGATAGAACTGTTGTTTTGAAAATAAAACACAATAATAAAATTAAATAAATATTAGTTATTTTTAATTTTATTATTAATATATATTTTTGTAATTTTTATTTTGTGTTTTTAATTAATTTAGAATATTCATAGTTTGTGTCTTTAACAAACTGCTTTTATTCAATATATGTGTAGTTGGCAACGCATGGTAATTGACATGCCTAAAAGTATGCTATGGAATGGGGTTGACTGTTATGTAGTTAACATTTGACTAGTTAACATTTGATTGGCTGTTAATTCAGGAATTGGAAGTCGAGGGAAATAAAGGCACATTTTTATACCCTTCACCCCATTGTGGTACATGTTTGTAACAAGCAAAAGGAAACGAGGTAGACCCATAGTTCCTTTTGAGACTATGCATAGAATCACTTTCTGAGTCGATATATGCATATCCGTCCGTCCGTCCGTCCGTCTGTTGGTGTTAAGTTGTAAACAAAGTACAGGTCGCATTTATGATCCGATTTGAATGAAATTTGGCATAGGTCACTTATTTGGCCCATGAACGAACCCTATTGAAATTGGGAAAAAATCGGTTCAGATTTAGATATAGCTCCCATATATATTTTCTTCCGATTTAACGTAAATGGCGCACCAAAGTCCTTAAATATCTTTCGATTTGCACGAAATTTGGCATAGAGTACTGGATTGAGCCTAGAATGATGTGTGTTAAGTTTCGTCAAAATCGGTTCAGATTTAGATATAGCTCCCATATATAGTTTAATCCGATTTAAGGTAATTGGTGCACCAAAGTCCCTACATATCTTTCGATTTTCACGAAATTTGGCACAGCGTACTGAATTGAGCCCAGAATGATGTGTGT